AAATTCAGAAATTTTCCGGCATGAGAATTGATATAAATATAATCTACGGTAATCTACGGTCGTAGTGTGGTTATGTTGATGTGAGTGTGAGTCGTATATACGCCCCAGTTGATGTAAATTGATCTAAAATTATCGGACCGGATAGCGCAGAAACACTGATGATTGATTTTGTCTGCATTCTTCTTTTCGATTGTTCACAGGTGTTGCTGTATTGCACGTTTGACCGAATGAATCTCGTGGTTCACAGGTGACAAGTCCTACAACTCGGAGTGCTGTTGTTCACCACAATATCAAAAGACAAACAGTATAGCGAACGAGTTTGTTTGTCTTCAGGCGCTTACAGTTGCTGTTCTATTTAGCTCACTATTTCATTCCTGTTCGCTGTAATGCCCTGTATATGACCCTGAATGCCCGAAGACGAAATTACATAACCAGAATGGATTGCTATATCGTTGCTGCTTTTGACATATATATATATATATATACATACATACATATAAATATATCTTAGGGTTGTCAATGGTCAGCAGGTGAACAAATAGTGTCATTGATCTTGACCTTTTATGCTGTTATGATTGTCACTCTTGTCATGTGATTTAGGGCTTGACGCATTCACTCGAACATACACGGATCTGACGATCAGACGGTCTTTGTTCTTCCTCTCGCTCGTAACGTTACAATATATATATGTACGTATAATATCCACGTTTGTTGTTGCTTCTGTTAGCCGAATGCCATGAGAATGTGCGATTTCTCGATTTCGGCGTCAGTTGTTGGTGCATCAGTTGCAAGAAAACAAAGTCACAGTAAAAACATAAGAATAATTTATTTATGAAAATGACTCCTAGGCATAATGCAGGTATTACTTTTTCATTTCGTCAATGTTCTATTTGCCGTTCTTTATTTGTGAGCACTGGAGGCAGTTGCTTTTGCGTGGAGTTCACCAATTTGATTGTCCAACAATATAAGCCAGTTTCCTCTAATAGTCAGTCAATCCATCGGCCAGTTTTTAGTCAGTAGTAGGTTTATGCACCCGGATGGGTGAATTTTCAGCATTTACACCATATTTGTGGATTCAAATTTACAAAATCATTAAATAAGGAAACTGAAAGTAGTAGATAGTGTTTGACAATGAAGCAAGCAATTGCGCAATTCTGTGGAAATTTTGTCCTTCTCAATGAGTAGACAGACGTGCTAGATATGATAAAACAGAATTAAAATTAGAGAGGTACGTGCAAATAAAAGTTTAAATCTTGAGCTGGTTGATGCTGTAGATACAGCTTTTGAAAATTCATTGTGTAATGAGTGGTGAGTGTCTCTGAGAGCATTTTGGCAGTGAAATTTTCACATGCTTGTAAGTGTCTGTCTGTGATAGAATCTGTGAGTTCATCCCTGAAGATGCCGCTACATTTAGATATATGTTTCAGAAATCTCGCCAGTCTTTCTTCAACATACCGAGGAAAATCATTGGTGAGCAATACAATCAGTGGGGTAACACGCATGCATTGACAAACCTAACAATCAGCTTATGAAGAACAGAAAGTATTCTCAATCGGAATGAGGAACATGAAGGCTTTCTAACCTTACAGAACCTGTTCTGAACATGCGGTGACCATGGTAAATTATGTGATAAGGTAACGCCAAGGAATTTAACCATTGTTGATTTCGGTACGGGTTCATGATTATCGGAGAGGGTGGGGAACCTATCTGTGAGGACTGAATATGGTACATCGGTCAAGAGGGAAAACATAACATCCTGACATTTAGAGGCATTCAATAAGAGGGACAAGGATCAAGTAATAACGTCATTTAGCGTGCTTTGAAATTCTAAAGCCTCTTCAGGAATGGGTGCTTTACACCCTAAAATAACGTCAGCTGCGTATTTGCAACTAATGAATGCAGGAGGAATGAGAAATTGTTTGACGTACATGGAAAAGACAAACGGGGAAAATATTGCACCTTGCAGAACACCAGAAGCAACTGGACGAGTGGAGGCCTTTTTGCCGTTGAGGAACGTAAACTGCCTTCTATTTGTGAAATAATTGTGGATCCATCTGCTAAAGTTTGGATTAACACCACTTTCGGTAATCAGATTGAGCAATGCCGATCGATCAAGACTGCCGAAATCGTTTTTGTAGTCTAAGGACACCATTCTGACGGTCTTACTTTTCTTATCTTGTGCCAAGGTTATGGAATGAACCAGGTATGCAACGGCATCAAGTGTTGAGCGTGAAGAACGATACGCAAATTGGTATATGTCATCTTCGGCTGACGCAGTGACAACCCACGATAACAAGCATCTCTTAGATAATTTGAGCATGACTGACGTGCAGGTGATGGGACAATGCTTCTCAGGTTCC